TACGGAAGAAGACATTGAGATGGACTGCACTGAGAAACATGATAATATGAAGAGAAATCAATGACATTGAACAAAATATGTTCCCAGGTAGTGTTGAATGAAAAAATATCTAGTGTGGAAACAAAAAAGGAAGATTGTCAAATACAATTTAAAATGCCAACTTTTAAACTTCCCTCGTCGAACCTGAAAAAGTCTACCACTGACAATGTCTCGTCGAGTCCTGGGACATTAACAAAAGTAAATAAGGACGATTCGTCTGCTAGAATATCGACTTTCGATAAACAGAATTCTCGAGATGGAGAAACTTCGGACTCAAATAAAGTTGTTACTTTACATTTAGTGGAAGGAGGCAAAGCTTCAGAAATTGAATCGCGAACAACGTCAGACCAACGTCAGAATCTGAATCAACCAGATGTATCCACCAACTCGAACTCGTCATCCCAGCCGAAATTAGTTAATAGTTCCCCACCCCCAGTACCATACAAAGAACCACAGTGGAGCGGAGTCCCCGAATCCACATACACTCTTGACGTTCTTAAAAACGGTTGTATTCATTCCCAGATAGCGTTAAACAACCGGCCCTACCATGTGTTTGGGCGTTTAGTTAGCTGTGATGTGGTTCTTGAACACCCATCAGTTTCGCGATACCATGCTGTGTTGCAGTATAGAGCATTTAGTGATGACGATCATCCGCAAGGTTTTTATTTGTATGACCTGAAGAGTACACACGGAACATTCCAGAATAAATGTCAACTGACTCCAAAAACCTATTACAGAGTGAGAGTGGGTCACATGTTTAAAGTTGGAGGAAGTTCACGACTGTATATTTTGCAGGTAAGTGACTTCTAGAGCTTGTTCACATGATGCCACAGATCACTAAAATGTTTTGAGTGTTGAGTACAAAGTGCACGTCTATCAAGATGGTCACTTTCAAACATTTTCCTAGGTTACCTAGCCTATGTACATTGAAAGTATTTCTTCAGATATCTGAACAGACATACATGTACGTAAACCGGTATGTACACCAGGCACATATTTACAAACATACAGAGAGGGTAACTTCACAGACCTGAATTAGTTTGGGGTTAAAATCTGCATATTAATTACCTAATTTTCATAATAATATAATTTATGTCTTTTCCATTGATATCTCAAGTACAAATCATCTAAGTTCACTAAAACTTGATACATAGATGCTCTGTGACAATGCAAAGTTTTAGTCTAAAATCTAATCATCCCATTTCTAATTTGCATGACAATTATCTAATTTTTTTCACCAAAAACAAATTATATATAGCATATACCAATCCTTGTGTAAAACTTGAGAGGAAAAAATTACAATTTACCACACTTCAATTCTAAACTCCATTCTGTATTTCAAATGGCCCGCCCTTTTGAAGTTTGTTAAAAACAGCTGTGTATATTAGATAGTGAAATATTCAATATAATATTTCTGCTAAATATACAAATTGTATATCTAGAACATGTATTTTTCAAGAAGACATGAATTTTTTTGATGGAAATTTATTTCTGTAGTTTATTTATATAATCGTCTTCAAGAATACATGAATTTTTGTTGTTGCAATAAAACCTGAGACTTGTGGGTTAATCACCAAAAGGCTTTGGTACCCTATGAAAACTTTTTTAAATTGATTTAAATTTCACAGGGTCCTGAGGAGGATGCAGATGAGGAATCAGAACTCACAGTGACTGAAATAAAAGAATTGCGACAGAAGCAGTTAGAGAAGTTAGAAGCCTTAGAAAAAGTTGAAGATGATAAAAAAGATGTCGATGAAGAAACTGAAATGGTTAAGAAAGTTACAGAAGAGGATAGTGGAATTGATTGGGGAATGGGTTGGTTTCATTTTATTAAATATCTTGGTTTGGTTCTGAATGATGAATATGTCAAACATTATTTGCACTATGATGTAAAAAAAATATGTTTTACAAAACTCGAAAATTAGTCTCGTCGCGCAAGATTTCCTATTACATTGAGTCAAATGTAGTTATGGCGACCAAGATACAATATATATAAAAAAACTTAATAACAACAATAATAAACAAAAATAACAATGGCAAAAATAAATTATAAAAAAAAAATTAAAAATTAGAGCCTATACCTACCGGTACATCAGATTTTAATCAGATTGTGTAGGGCAGCAATCCCTCTAGAACGTACCAAGATGTGTGACGTTATAACTTCCATGCATGCATGCATACATCTCATGTGACTCATTATTTCTTAAACAAGCTTTGACTTTGTTTCATTTCTTCTCTGTTAAATTTGTGATGTTCATTGACCTTACTATAGGAGTGGATGCCAGTGAAGAGGACACTGGTGATAATCCGTATGCTACCATGGAATTTATGCGTGAAAAAGATCCACTTGACTTGAAGGATCCTAAAAAGACTTTGAGAGGATATTTTGAAAGGGAAGGTGAGTTGTAGTTACTTTTTATGATATCTCATTAATTGATCTCAATGTATTTAAGTAGAGAGGTTATTATGAGGTCAAAGGCTACCTGACTTTTTGACGCCCTATTTCATTGTTGAAACACGAAATGACATGTGTGCATAATTATGGAATAAATTTATTTTATAGGAGCTCTGGGGCTTGCATTATTTGTGCACAGGGAACACAAAAACATAATAAAAAATGTTTGTTACTGTAAAAAATATTGATCACTGGAAAACAGTCAAGTTTTTAGAATACAAAAGTACATTAAAATATCCAACTTGTCAAATATTTAGAATAAAAATTAGTGATTACAAAAACATTAGATGCCATACAATGCTTTTTTAGTACTTTTACAGAGTAAGTTATTTTTATGTGTATGTCTATGGTAGTAAATCATTTGCGAGATAACACCATGTAGAATCAGTTTTACAGTTTTTGTTTTCTTTAATTAAAGTCTAAATTAGAGTCAAACCATTGATCTAATAAGAGAAATCCAAGATAAATGACATTTTGGAGAATAAAATATAGCACAATTTTGTTATCAGCCGAAATTTTAGAGGCAAATAAATTATGAAAATCACCTAAACAATTAGGTGAAGTTATTTTTAAATTAGGTAAATTTAGAGATAGTACAGTAGGTACCATTCACTTAAATAAAGCAACGTCACTGACTGTGAGGATGTAAAAACTGAATGACTTGATATTTTTCTTTTATTTATTAACAAAAATAATCTGTGTCAATGTTACTTTGTTGACTTTTGATTAGCTTTTTGCTGTTGATCATATTGCCCATGGATGTGAAATAATACCATATTTTCTTTGCAGGTGAAGAATTGGAATATGAAGTTGATGAGAGAGGTTTAAGTCATGCTAGGGAGTATATATGCAGAGTCAGGTAATAATTTACTATGCTAGGGAGTACTTATGCAGTCAGGACATGGCAGATATTGTATCACATCGAGTGTTCAGGGCTCAGACCACTAATTAGAACTTCATAGACAATATTAGCTTTTGGGTAAATTTCCCCAAACAAAAGATAAAAATACTGTTTTAATTTGTTGAAACCACATGTATGTAATAGAATTCTGGCCAGTAAAATGCATGTTGGCCAGCTCAAACTCCTTTTTTTGATTAACTGTAATTTTTCAACTTTTCGTGATGTCTATTTCAGAACTAAATTAAGGCCTTTCACTCTTCCCTGACATCTAAATTTTAGTGACGCCTAAACTAGAGATTATACGATACATACATATGCAGTATAGTATGTACCTGTCACTGGTAGTATAATGGTTGTCGCATCAGACTCATGATCGGTAGACCCAAGTTCAAATCCTACCTGAACACCAAAAGTGTCGACCCCTACCATGGGCGAGTGTGCCACAGACTCAATGGGAAGGCCAATCCACTGGCCGAGATTCATTCACTAACGAATGCGACTTAGGGGGAACCTTGGTTAAGGTCCGCGAGTGCTTGTGTTTGACCGAGCCTTGTTGACGCCAGGATAGCGCATTAAATTGCCATTTGATAGGGAGATGGCCGCACAGCACTGTCATGAAGTCCCAAATAGGAAATGACTTCTGTGGCAAAATGCATTATGTGTCAGCACTTTCACTTGGAATTTGCACATACAAAAAAGTCAGGAGAGACAATAGTGACATTCAAAGTCCGAAACTGTCGCCTGGCACAAAAAACATTTAAAAAAAAAATATATGCAGTATAGTAATTACTTCTGGGTACTTTCTCCTAATAACAATGGAACAATGGAACAGATTTTAAAAGTGCTATCAACAACAGGCCCTGTCATATGTATTATGTATCTCCAATATGGACACAGGTCACCACCGTCAGCTGTTGTACAACTTATGGGATATGTCACCAAAATTTATAATCATTTACATACATGCAGATTACCCATTGAGGATGCAAGTGGAAACTCAATTTATGCTGAAGCGTCTGTGACTGGTAAAAAGAAAGAAGCTGTGATAGCCTGTGCTGTAGAAGCCTGTAGAATACTTGATGGACATGGAGTACTCAGACAATCAACACATGGTATGTATCTATGTGTTCAATTCCGGACTGCAATTCCTTGTCTGGGCTGTCCCTAGATATGCAATTCCATCCATGTCTGGGTTGTCCCTAGATTTGGCATCTGTGTGAAAATACTCAGACAATCAACGCATGGTATGTATCTACGTGTTTAATTCCGGACTGCAATTCCTTGTCTGGGCTGTCCCTAGATATGCAATTCCATGTCTGGGCTGTCCCTAGATATGCAATTCCTTGTCTTGGCTGCCCTTAGATGTGCAATTCCATCCATGTCTGGGTTGTCCCTAGATTTGGCATCTGTGTGGAAATACTCAGACAATCAACGCATGGTATGTATCTACGTGTTTAATTCCGGACT